AATTAATTGTACCAATATTCATAACAAAATGAGGAGATGGCTGGAAATGTTTGTCCTGTAAATATTCCGTCATCTGTTCAATGGTACAGCCTTTCTTTGTCCGGATTAGGAAACGATACGGTTTGTTGTTTAGATTGACTGTACCGGGTTTGAGATCTTGAGTAATACTCGACCCTGTTACGGTGACTAAAACAGGTGTCGGATGGATAAACGATTTTTGTGAAAGAAGGGGATTCGAATTAAGACTAGTGCTATCAGCTTTTTTACTTGAATTCATATTTGCTAACGATGTAGGCGGTATTGGCGATGAGGTAACAACAGCAGCATACGAATTAGAATTGTTAGACTTGTCGCCAGTATGATTAATATCGTGATTGGGTAACATAATACTATCCGAAGAAGAAATTGACGAGAGACTATGATTGCTTTGTACTGTTGGTGGTGAGCAAAATTCTTTAAATCGAGTTTGTGTGGAGCGATTACTGACGAAAGCTTGTGACGAAGACGCGTTTGATTGCGGAGAGAGACATGCTGAATCAAGTAAATTGGCCTTGGACTGATATTGATGACATAAGGTTCTTATTAATAAGTCGTGCTGAGCGACGATTGTTTTGAACAGTGGATTGGCGACATCTAACGAACAATTGGCAATGGAGCCCAATGAATCATCACAGTCAGAATCAACGACTTCGGCAAATTTCTCAATCAAGGATAGTAACTGATTCCGTGACAAATAGCGCAAATCAGTTTTCTGGATTGAATTCAGATAGGTGTTTATGATCACTTTAGAAGATTTTGTCATTGTAAAGTTTAAAACAGCAAATTGATTAGACCAAAGTGTCCAATAATATCAATGGTAAAAATATGGATGCTTGGATTAAAAATATGATGGAATAAATGGAAAACGTAATAAAATAGATGAATATGACCACGGATAATGAAGAATAGCCCAGTATGTGGACGAGAGAAAGAACGCTTATTGACGACTAAGAGCAGACTTGCCCAGTGAGATATTGGCTTTTCTCACTTCGCTGTTATAGATTGCTACTTCTTTTTCGTAATTAAAACGAAGCTTAAATCAAATCTGTCGAAAGAAAATAGATGTCAATATTGTTCAAAATTTTCTATGCAAGTTCCATGGTTTTTTACAGAACATGAAATTAACCTCCGCATGTTATGATTCCAGCGGCGGAGTTTTATAATATCGAGCCGGAAATTTCACTTTGGCTAGCTGACACCGCATCTGAGAGATTAAACTTTTTTAACGTTTTTGTTTCATAGGTATAGTTTTGTTGTACGACAAAACCATAATTTTTACTGTTCTACAATTACAAATATATTTTTTGTTAATAAAGGCTCTCTAAATATTGATATATCATAGATTATCCACATTACTATTCAACAGGTTTATTTTTCTGCAGATTGCAAACCAAAATTGTCATAAACTTTTGTGATCTTGTGTATAAAGCCGACAAAATGTCTGTGCATGAGGGTGGAGCTCCTTCTCGTGAAAAGATTTGAGTGTATGCGATATTTCTATTTTGTTGACATAGTGAGATAAAACTCGAATTTTTTCACCTTGAAACGTTATTCTCAAAGAAAATATTTTTTTCATGGATGATACAATAGAACTGGTTGGTATCGAAAATCTTATTTTCATTTGAACTATCAGTTAATGTTTTTTCAAATTTGTATAGAGTAATATTTCAATTGAGAATAATGAATACATTTCTACAGGGAAACAATTACCGAGCAAAAGAAAGAAAAAAACATGTTGCAACCGAATCGGTAAGAAATGCCGTTTATTAATAGCAGCTGTATCAATAGCGACAGCAATTAGTTTATTAATTATTGATATGATATCATTTCACAAATATAATACCAGAGGAAATTATCTTTATGTTCGAAGCTCGAATGATACATCTTCTAATAAGTATTATGTTATTAAAGACGGATTTGGTATTGACAGTTGTAATATAACAAAGTCTGAAGTCGATGATAATATATTTCGTTTAAATGAGGTCGACTGGTTGATTAAACGAACGCGGAATCATTATTCTGTATTAGGTTGCTTTTGGTTTGGAGTTGCCATTACATTTACTATTAGTGTTGCTGGAACAATATTTGAATATCGTCAAAAGGATTATTTTAAAGGTGAACCACGATGTGTTCGTTATTGTCAAACCATCATTCGTTTTCTTCGATCATTCGTATACAAATCTTGTGTTGTTCTACCGTCGTTATTTCTATTTGCATTTGACTATACAACGCCTTGTCTTAAATTGCGTGCGTCGATAATAACGCGTCTTATTATGGAAGAAATGATCATATTTAGCGCCATTTTTACAGCAGCATTCGGTTTGTTAACTATCGATTTGTTCTTGGAAGGAATATCCAATCGTCCAAATGCAACTTGTTCTAAGATAGATAAATGTCCTCAATGCGGACGGTGTCTCGTTTTCATAATCATAGGTCTCCTGCTTTTGATCATTTTATTAATGTTATTCCTGTATATAATGCAAATGATGTTCACAGTAATGTCTCAGATTGATTCTGTGCTCATTACGCTTAATGTTGTTTTAAGTATAATAAGTAACTGTCCGTGCTGTAGATGAATATTAGAGATTTTTTTGTCAATGATACTGTATGATTTGCTAGTATTTGAATAAAAAGTATGAAGCTCGATGTAAACTTGGCGATCTGCTTTTGAAATTTCTGCTTTGGATTTTCGACACATCGAAATTGCAACGGAATTGCTGCGAATTTACAAATTCCGATGGAATTGGATAATATTTATTAAATCAGAAGAACAAATATAAAATTAATAATGTAATAATTTATGTTAGGTTTTTTGTATTTTTAATCAATATTTTCTTCTCACTCATTATAGCTATGAATAATTGTCAGATATCATGCTTCTGAACAGATCTTTTTGTAGGGTTCATTTACTTTTGTATATAATTCTTTAAAAAAGGTTTTTACTATTAGAAAATAGTGATCATATAGTTAAATGAGGAAACAGAGTTTGATAAAAAACCGCACCCTAGAAGATCGACAAAAAATGTTTTCCAATCAACGAATCGTATCTAGCACAGAATTTTGGAGCATAGTGAGGATACCGAGGATAGTGAAGATACTATCTCCACTACCATGACCATCCTCCATATCCGACACTTCCCACTTCCCTGACTATCTTCACCATTGATCTCCAAGAATCTCGATTACTTTGACTATGTTCAAGTTTAACGGGCAAATAATGAGCAGTTTAAATGTCATAATGATCCAATTTGCAGCCGATTTTTTTGCTATATTAGTGACGATCTGGATTGGATCTTATTGTTTTTGATCAAGCATAAGCAATAATCAAATATTAAATGAAAGATTATATCGTTCTATATCATACAATCTTGTATCTGTCTCAGCTACCTGATCTTACACTTGATTAATTCCGTCGCCAAAGGAGTAGTATCGATAAGTAGGTTTTTCGTTTCAAAAAATTTCCGATTGAAAGTCACATATTTGGAATCAGCGTCGAATTCTGAACAAAATGGCCGATTCAGATTTTTTCCCGGCTGTCTGAAATGCTTTGTTACCGTAATGTTTTGGTAATTTTAACGCCCGTTGTAGCCGTTCGTAAATCCACTGCAGCTGCGTGAAAAGGCATTACAGACATTCAGGAGACGTCTTATTGTG